GCCATTGCTTCTCCCCCTGCCATCGCTTCTCCCCCTGCCATCGCTTCTCCCCTGCTCACTTCTCCCCCTGCCATCGCTTCTCCCCCTGCCATCGCTTCTCCCCCTGCCATCGCTTCTCCCCTTGCCATCGCTTCTCCCCTGCCATCGCTTCTCCCCCTGCCATCGCTTCTCCCCCTGCCATCGCTTCTCCCCTGCCATCGCTTCTCCCCTGCCATCGCTTCTCCCCCTGCCATCGCTTCTCCCCCTGCCGTCGCTTCTCCCCTGCCATCGCTTCTCCCCCTGCCATCGCTTCTCCCCCTGCCGTCGCTTCTCCCTGCCATCGCTTCTCCCCCTGCCATCGCTTCTCCCCTGCCATCGCTTCTCCCCTGCCATCGCTTCTCCCCTGCCATCGCTTCTCCCCCTGCCATCGCTTCTCCCCTGCCATCGCTTCTCCCCCTGCCATCGCTTCTCCCCCTGCCATCGCTTCTCCCCCTGCGTCTTCTCCCCCTGCCATCGCTTCTCCCCCCCATCGCTTCTCCCCCTGCCATCGCTTCTCCCCTGCCATCGCTTCTCCCCCTGCCATCGCTTCTCCCCCTGCCATCGCTTCTCCCCCTGCCATCGCTTCTCCCCTTGCCATCGCTTCTCCCCTGCCATCGCTTCTCCCCCTGCCATCGCTTCTCCCCCTGCCATCGCTTCTCCCCCTGCCATCGCTTCTCCCCCTGCCATCGCTTCTCCCCCTGCCATCGCTTCTCCCCTGCCATCGCTTCTCCCCCTGCCATCGCTTCTCCCCCTGCCATCGCTTCTCCCCTGCCATCGCTTCTCCCCTGCCATCGCTTCTCCCCCTGCCATCGCTTCTCCCCCTGCCGTCACTTCTCCCCTGCCATCGCTTCTCCCCTGCCATCGCTTCTCCCCCTGCCATCGCTTCTCCTCTCACCCTTGCCATCGCTTCTCCTCTCACCCTTGCCATCGCTTCTCCTCTCACCCCTGCCATCGCTTCTCCTCTCACCCCTGCCATCGCTTCTCCTCTCACCCCTGCCATCGCTTCTCCTCTCACCCTTGCCATCGCTTCTCCCCTGCCATCGCTTCTCCCCCTGCCATCGCTTCTCCCCCTGCCATCGCTTCTCCCCTGCCATCGCTTCTCCCCCTGCCATCGCTTCTCCCCCTGCCATCGCTTCTCCCCTTGCCATCGCTTCTCCCCCTGCCATCGCTTCTCCCCCTGCCGTCGCTTCTCCCCTGCCATCGCTTCTCCCCCTGCCATCGCTTCTCCCCCTGCCATCGCTTCTCCCCCTGCCGTCGCTTCTCCCCCTGCCATCGCTTCTCCCCCTGCCATCGCTTCTCCCCCTGCCATCGCTTCTCCCCCTGCCATCGCTTCTCCCCCTGCCATCGCTTCTCCCCCTGCCATCGCTTCTCCCCTGCCATCGCTTCTCCCCCTGCCATCGCTTCTCCCCCTGCCATCGCTTCTCCCCCTGCCATCGCTTCTCCCCCTGCCATCGCTTCTCCCCCTGCCATCGCTTCTCCCCTGCCATCGCTTCTCCCCTGCCATCGCTTCTCCCCCTGCCATCGCTTCTCCCCCTGCCATCGCTTCTCCCCCTGCCATCGCTTCTCCCCTGCCATCGCTTCTCCCCTGCCATCGCTTCTCCCCCTGCCATCGCTTCTCCCCTTGCCATCGCTTCTCCCCCTGCCATCGCTTCTCCCCCTGCCATCGCTTCTCCCCTGCCATCGCTTCTCCCCTGCCATCGCTTCTCCCCCTGCCATCGCTTCTCCCCCTGCCATCGCTTCTCCCCTGCCATCGCTTCTCCCCCTGCCATCGCTTCTCCCCCTGCCATCGCTTCTCCCCTTGCCATCGCTTCTCCCCTGCCATCGCTTCTCCCCCTGCCATCGCTTCTCCCCTGCCGTCGCTTCTCCCCTGCCATCGCTTCTCCCCCTGCCATCGCTTCTCCCCCTGCCATCGCTTCTCCCCCTGCCATCGCTTCTCCCCTGCCATCGCTTCTCCCCCTGCCGTCGCTTCTCCCCTTGCCATTGCTTCTCCCCCTGCCATCGCTTCTCCCCCTGCCATCGCTTCTCCCCCTGCCATCGCTTCTCCCCTGCCATCGCTTCTCCCCCTGCCATCGCTTCTCCCCCTGCCATCGCTTCTCCCCTGCCGTCGCTTCTCCCCTGCCATCGCTTCTCCCCTGCCATCGCTTCTCCCCCTGCCGTCACTTCTCCCCTGCCATCGCTTCTCCCCTGCCATCGCTTCTCCCCCTGCCATCGCTTCTCCCCCTGCCATCGCTTCTCCCCTGCCATCGCTTCTCCCCCTGCCGTCGCTTCTCCCCCTGCCATCGCTTCTCCCCTGCCATCGCTTCTCCCCCTGCCATCGCTTCTCCCCTGCCATCGCTTCTCCCCCTGCCATCGCTTCTCCCCCTGCCATCGCTTCTCCCCTGCCATCGCTTCTCCCCCTGCCATCGCTTCTCCCCCTGCCATCGCTTCTCCCCCTGCCGTCGCTTCTCCCCTTGCCATCGCTTCTCCCCCTGCCATCGCTTCTCCCCCTGCCATCGCTTCTCCCCCTGCTGTCACTTCTCCCCCTGCCATCGCTTCTCCCCCTGCCATCGCTTCTCCCCCTGCCATCGCTTCTCCCCTGCCATCGCTTCTCCCCTGCCATCGCTTCTCCCCCTGCCATCGCTTCTCCCCCTGCCATCGCTTCTCCCCCTGCCATCGCTTCTCCCCTGCCATCGCTTCTCCCCCTGCCATCGCTTCTCCCCCTGCCATCGCTTCTCCCCTGCCATCGCTTCTCCCCTGCCATCGCTTCTCCCCCTGCCATCGCTTCTCCCTGCCATCGCTTCTCCCCTGCCATCGCTTCTCCCCCTGCCATCGCTTCTCCCCCTGCCATCGCTTCTCCCCCTGCCATCGCTTCTCCCCCTGCCATCGCTTCTCCCCTGCCATCGCTTCTCCCCCTGCCATCGCTTCTCCCCCTGCCGTCGCTTCTCCCCCTGCCATCGCTTCTCCCCTGCCATCGCTTCTCCCCCTGCCATCGCTTCTCCCCCTGCCATCGCTTCTCCCCCTGCCATCGCTTCTCCCCTGCCATCGCTTCTCCCCCTGCCATCGCTTCTCCCCCTGCCATCGCTTCTCCCCCTGCCATCGCTTCTCCCCCTGCCGTCGCTTCTCCCCTTGCCGCGCTTCTCCCCCTGCCATCGCTTCTCCCCTGCCATCGCTTCTCCCCTGCCATCGCTTCTCCCCCTGCCATCGCTTCTCCCCCTGCCATCGCTTCTCCCCCTGCCATCGCTTCTCCCCTGCCATCGCTTCTCCCCCTGCCATCGCTTCTCCCCCTGCCATCGCTTCTCCCCCTGCCATCGCTTCTCCCCCTGCCATCGCTTCTCCCCCTGCCATCGCTTCTCTTCTGCCATCGCTTCTCCCCCTGCCATCGCTTCTCCCCTGCATCGCTTCTCCCCCTGCCATCGCTTCTCCCCTTGCCATCGCTTCTCCCCTGCCATCGCTTCTCCCCCTGCCATCGCTTCTCCCCCTGCCATCGCTTTCTCCCCCTGCCGTCGCTTCTCCCCTGCCATCGCTTCTCCCCTGCCATCGCTTCTCCCCCTGCATCGCTTCTCCCCTGCCATCGCTTCTCCCCCTGCCATCGCTTCTCCCCCTGCCGTCGCTTCTCCCCTTGCCATCGCTTCTCCTCTCACCCCTGCCATCGCTTCTCTCTCACCCCTGCCATCGCTTCTCCCCTGCCGTCGCTTCTCCCCTGCCATCGCTTCTCCCCCTGCCATCGCTTCTCCCCTGCCATCGCTTCTCCCCCTGCCATCGCTTCTCCCCTGCCATCGCTTCTCCCCTCCCCTCTGCCATCGCTTCTCCCCCTGCCATCTGCTTCTCCCCCTGCCATCGCTTCTCCCCCTGCCGATCGCTTTCTCCCCCTTGCCAGTTCGCTTTCTCCCCTTGCCATCGCTTCTCTCTCACCCCTGCCATCGCTTCTCCTCTCATCCTTGCCATCGCTTCTCTCTCCCCCTTGCCATCGCTTCTCCCCCTGCCATCGCTTCTCCCCCTTGCCGATCGCTTCTCCCCCTTGCCATCGCTTCTCCCCCTGCCATCGCTTCTCCCCCTGCCATCGCTTCTCCCCCTGCCATCTGCTTCTCCCCCTGCCGATCGCTTCTCCCCCTGCCATCGCTTCTCCCCCCCCCCCCCCCCCCCCCCCGCCCCCCTGCCATCGCTTCTTCCCCTGCCCTCGCTTCTCCCCCTGCCATCGCTTCTCCCCCTGCCATCGCTTCTCCCCCTGCCATCGCTTCTCCCCCTGCCGTCGCTTCTCCCTTGCCATTGCCTCTCCCCCTGCCATCGCTTCTCCCCCTGCCATCGCTTCTCCCCTGCCATCGCTTCTCTCCCCTTGCCATCGCTTCTCCCCCTGCCATCGCTTCTCCCCCTGCCATCGCTTCTCCCCCTGCCATCGCTTCTCCCCCTGCCATCGCTTCTCTCCCTTGCCATTGCTTTCTCTTTTCCTCCTCCCCCCTGCCTCCCTTCTCGCTTCTCCCCCTGCCATCGCTTCTCCCCCTGCCATCGCTTCTCCCCCTGCTTCTTGCCATCGCTTCCCCCCCCTCCTCTCCCCCTGCCTCGCTTCTCCCCTCTCCTTCCCCCCTGCCATCGCTTCTCCCCCCCTCCTCTCCCCCTGCCATCGCTTCTCCCCCTGCCATCGCTTCTCCCCCTGCCATCGCTTCTCTCCCCTTGCCATCGCTTCTCCCCCTGCCTCCCCTTGCCATCGCTTCTCCCCCTGCAATCGCTTCTCCCCCTGCCATCGCTTCTCCTCCTGCCATCGCTTCTCCCCCTGCCCTCGTTTCTTCCCCCTACCCTCGTTTCTCTCCCCTACCCTTTGCTCTCCCCGCTACCTCCAGTCTCCCCTCTATCCGCCACTCCTCTCCCTTCTTTGCCCCCAAGACCCTCATGGGCATCATTCTGACGGCAGTGAGTCCCTCCACATGCATCCCCCATTAGAAGATAGCCTTGGACACTCGCCTCTCGCCCTATCCTGCTTCTTCTGCCCCCCCTCCCCCCTCCCCCAGACGTACACGGGCACCATTCTGATCGCGGCGAACCCCTTCATGCGCATCCCCGGCATCTACGACCGCGAGATGCGCGACGCGTACCGCGGCCAGCAAGTAGGCGAGCTCAGCCCGCACGTTTTTGCCATCGCTGATAATGCGTACAGGTGAGCTTCCAGGTGCTCCTGCCATGCGAACAGGTGAGCTTCCAGGTGCTCTTGCCATGCGAACAGATGTGCTTTCTGGTGTGGTTACAAGCACCTGCAGGCTGCAGGCGAGAAGTTGGGGTGAAAGGGAGTGTGGGACAAGGGACGCCTACAGAGGCCAGCAGATGGGCGAGCTCAGCCCGCGTGGGCTTGCCATAGCTGACCATGCTCTACCAGTGAGCTGTGGGTGGATTGTTTTTATCATGATTTCAAGTGGATTGTGTAAATTGTGATAAACCTAGGCGCCTTAGGTTTTTTTTTTTTTTTTTTTTTTTTCTAACCGGGCTCCCCTAACTCTCCTAAATGCAATCGCACCTATGGGGTTCGTTTTGTTGTACTAACCTACAGATTTGATGGAAATAAGGCCTCCGCAGCCCACCTGTAATCCATCTACGACCCCACCCCACCCGTCACAACATTCACAACCGCAGGGCCATGCGCGACGAGCGGCGCAGCCAGTCCATTCTGATCAGCGGGGAGAGCGGCGCCGGCAAGACGGAGACCACGAAGCTCGTGATGGAGTACCTGGCGTCCGTGGGGGGGCGGGCGGACACCGAGGGGGAGAGGAGCATCGAGAACCAAGTGCTGGAGGTGAGGATGTCCCAAAGCGAGAAGCCAAGCTGGAGCAGGGCGGAAAGAGGCAGAGGCGAAGTGAGAGATGGAGCGAGGGAAGCTGGTGCTGCTGTACGTGGTGTCGGCGGGGGAGCGGGTAGAGGGGAAGAGGAGCATTCAATAGCAAGTCTCGGAGGTGCGAGAGAGACTGCGATGCTTAGGTTTGGGGAAGTGGGCTGGAAGCAAGATAGCTAGTGCGGCACGCCTGGATAGGTGTGTCTGAAACGACGGGGGGCGGAATGTTGAGACGCGACACTGTTCGCTCATGTGTCCTGCTCTTCCGTCCTTTCTTCTCCCATTGCCTTGTTTTAATCTCACATCATCCATCTCACATCCTCCATCTCACATCATCCATTTCACATCATCCATCTCACATCATCCATTTCACATCATCCATCAAACATCATCCATTTCACATCATCCATCTCACATCATCCATCTCACATCATCCATTTCACATCATCCATCTCACATCATCCATCTCACATCATCCATTCACCCCATCGTTAGATCCCCCGCTCCGTCCCAGCACTTATCTCCTTTGCCCGTCTGCTCCCTTCCCATCCTTCTCCTCCCTCCTGCTCTCCTCCGTTTTCAATTTCCCCAACAACAGTCCAACCCACTGCTGGAGGCGTTTGGGAATGCCAAGACCGTGCGCAATGATAACTCCAGGTGGGATGGTGCAATGCAAGAGAATTGATCCGCCCACTCGTGCTCACGTGTGACACATTCTGCTGCGATGGGTACATCTGAAGCACATCAAATCCAGTCGTCATGCACATCAAATCCAGTCGTCATGCACATTCAACACCTCTGGTCCGGCATGACAAGGTCTACCGCGTTGCCCTCTACCGTGTTGGAGTTCATTCATTGCCCATCCGTCCCGTGTTGGAGTTCATTCATTGCCCATCCGTCCCGTCCTTGCCCTCGCTGTCATCCGTCCTTGCCCTCGCTGTCATCCGTCCTTGCCCTCGCTGTTATCCGTCCTTGCCCTCGCTGTCATCCGTCCTTGCCCTCGCTGTCATCCGTCCTTGCCCTCGCTGTCATCCGTCCTTGCCCTCGCTGTCATCCGTCCTTGCCCTCGCTGTCATCCGTCCTTGCCCTCGCTGTCATCCGTCCTTGCCCTCGCTGTCATCCGTCCTTGCCCTCGCTGTCATCCGTCCTTGCCCTCGCTGTCATCCGTCCTTGCCCTCGCTGTCATCCGTCTTTGCCCTCGCTGTCATCCGTCCTTGCCCTCGCTGTCATCCGTCCTTGCCCTCGCTGTCATCCGTCCTTGCCCTCGCTGTCATCCGTCCTTGCCCTCGCTGCACCCGGGGCCATGCACCGGGGGCCATGCATCGGGGGCCATGCACCGGGGGCCATGCACCGGGGGCCATGCATCGGGGGCCATGCATCGGGGGCCATGCATCGGGGGCCATGCATCGGGGGCCATGCATCGGGGGCCATGCATCGGGGGCCATGCATCGGGGGCCATGCATCGGGGGCCATGCATCGGGGGCCATGCATCGGGGGCCATGCATCGGGGGCCATGCATCGGGGGCCATGCATCGGGGGCCATGCATCGGGGGCCATGCATCGGGGGCCAGGCATCATCGTCATGCACTGCCCCTACCCTCACGCCCGCATGCGCTTTCTCCCATGCACTTCCGCCTCTCACGCACTGCCCACACCTTCTGCCCGCCCCGCCCCCCAAGCAGTCGTTTTGGCAAGTTCATCGAGATCCAGTTCGACCAGCGCGGGCGGGTGTCAGGAGCCGCCATCCGGTCGTACCTGTTGGAGCGGTCGCGCGTGGTGCAGATCGCCGACCCCGAGCGCAACTACCACTGCTTCTACCAGCTCTGCGACGGGGCTTCTGATGAGGTCAGTATTGCTTTGAAGCGTTTCTTTTAGAGCAGATCGCAGGCCCCGAACAGAATTATCACTTCTTCTTCCAGCTCTGCGATGGGTCAACTGAGGTAAGTGCTGCTTTTAAAGAGTACGCTCTTCTCTCAGTGTAGTGAGTGCTGCTTTAAGCGCAGTTCACTGACCCCGAAAGGAGCTACCACTGCGTCTATCAGCTGTGCTACGGGGCCTCTGCTGAGGCAAGTGCTTCTGTAGGTGAGGCAAATGCTGGATGGACGGACGGGCAGTTCTTTTTTTGAGTTGATGGCTCTTTTTTTTCTCAAGTCAGGTGTTTCCGCTATTGCTTCTCCGAGCCATCGTGTGCCTGAAGAGACCGCCTGGCTTGAGCTGTGACCACGCGCCTCTCCCTCTCTCGGTCCCCATTCCATTCCAACCCCTCCCGTTCTTGCCCTGCCCAAGCTGCATGCACAGCTGCCCATACTACCCCCAGCCCCCCCACAGGGCGCAGCCCTTCCACTACTGGCACTAGGGCCAGTGATACCAGCTAGGGCCAGTGATACCAGCTAGGGCCAGTGATACCAGCTAGGGCCAATGATACCAGCTAGGGCCAGTGATACCAGCTAGGGCCAGTGATACCAGCTAGGGCCAGTGATACCAGCTAGGGCCAGTGATACCAGCTAGGGCCAGTGATAACAGCTAGGGCCAGTGATACCAGCTAGGGCCAGTGATACCAGCTAGGGCCAGTGATACCAGCTAGGGCCAGTGATACCAGCTAGGGTCAGTGATACCAGCTAGGGTCAGTGATACCAGCTAGGGCCAGTGATACCAGCTAGGGCCAGTGATACCAGCTAGGGCTAGTGATACCAGCTAGGGCCAGTGATACCAGCTAGGGCCAGTGATACCAGCTAGGGCCAGTGATACCAGCTAGGGCTAGTGATACCAGCTCTTCTCTTCCTCCATCGCTCACGTGTGCAGCTGCCCAAGTTTCAGGCCTGCTCTCTCGTCCACCTTTCCAGCCCCACTTCTTCCGCCAGGTCCACGCGTCACAGCTGCCCAGGCTATCCCCATCCCACCCACGTATCCCACCCACTCCACCACCTATCCCATCCCTTGCCCCCACAGGAAGCAGAGCTGCTGAGACTACCACCCGGTCCCAACCGGGCGCAGCACTTCCACTACCTGAATCAGAGCCGGTGCTTCGAGCTGGAGGGCAAGTCCAGCAACGCGGAGGAGTACGGCAAGACCCGCAGCGCCATGCGCGTCATCGGGATCTCCGAGGACGAACAGGTGGGCGCGTGTGTGGGGATGTGTGCGCGCGCGCGTGCGCGTGTGTGTGTGTGTGGACTGGCTGTTATTCGAGATAGCTCTTATGGAGCCGATGCTGGAAGGTTAGTCCAGCCACAACTTTGTTATTTCCTACCCAGCATCGTCCAGCCTAGAATGTTCCTCCCCTTTTCCTGCATCTCTCCACATCCCCGTGTCTCTCCTCCCGCCACTCTCCTCCCTTGCTCCTCTCGTCCCATCGTCATCCCTCGCCCCCCACCGACGCCCCCATCTCCTCTCCAATCCGCGCCTGCTGGCAGCCGTGCTGCATCTGCTCTCTCGCCCTCCTGTCCTCTAGCAAGTAGCAAGTCTGCCTCCGCCCTCGCCTCGCCCCCTCCGTCCCTCCCTCTCTGCCTGTGTGCCCCTCAGCTGTCCATCCTGCGTCTGCTGGCGGCCGTGCTGCATCTGGGCAACGTGGAGTTCCGGGAGAAGGGCGACAAGCTGCGGGTCGCCAAGCACGCCGAGGACACTCTGGAGACTGTCGCCTCGCTGCTGTCGTACGTTTGGGTTGACGCGCCTCAAGTGGCGTGAAAGCGAGTTCGCGGCTCTCTTTGCCAGGGAGGAGGACGGCGCCGCTTAGGCGTGTCTTGAAACGCCTCGAGGCACAACCGCTGGGCTTCTTTCCCGTTGGGGTGGACACCTCTCACGCACCCACCCGCTCATCCCACTGCTCCACCGCCTCTCCCACCGCGTCATCGCGCCCCTCCGTGCCTTGCTGCTCTCACTGCATCCCCGCTGGCCACGGCTCTCCTTCCGTCATTCTCAGTCAGCTCGGCTCCATCGACCTTCTCCTCCTCTCTCATCCCTCCCTCCCTCTCCCTCCCTCTCCTCCAACCCTCAACTGCAACTGCAAAAGCTGTAGGATTCGCTGTATTCAGTGTGGTGCGAGGTTGCTCTTCAGTCACTACAATAGACCCCTCTCTCTGTGCGTCTGTGCCCTCTCTTCTGCCGTTTGCCTCTCCCTCTCTCCTCCCCTCTCTTCTGCCCCTTACTCGCCCTCTTCCTCGCCCCCCTCACCCTCTCCCTCGCCCCACTCGCCCTCTCCCTCGCCCCCCTCACCCTCTCCCTCGCCCCCTCGCCCTCTCCCTCGCCCCCCTCACTCTCTCCCTCGCCCCCCTCACCCTCTCCCTCGCCCCCCTCGCCCTCTCCCTCGCCCCCCTCACCCTCTCCCTCGCCCCCCTCACCCTCTCCCTCGCCCCCCTCACCCTCTCCCTCGCCCCCCTCACCCTCTCCCTCGCCCCCCTCACCCTCTCCCTCGCCCCCCTCACCCTCTCCCTCGCCCCCCTCACCCTCTCCCTCGCCCCCCTCACCCTCTCCCTCGCCCCCCTCACCCTCTCCCTCGCCCCCCTCACCCTCTCCCTCGCCCCCCTCGCCCTCTCCCTCGCCCCCCTCGCCCTCTCCCTCGCCCCCCTCACCCTCTCCCTTGCCCCCCTCACCCTCTCCCTCGCCCCCCTCGCCCTCTCCCTCGCCCCCCTCGCCCTCTCCCTCGCCCCCCTCGCCCTCTCCCTCGCCCCCCTCACCCTCTCCCTCGCCCCCCTCACCCTCTCCCTCGCAGCTGCGACCGCAAGAAGCTGCAGGAGTCGCTGTGCACGGTGCGGCGCAAAGTGGGCGGGGAGACCATCAAGAGTGCGCTCGACGTCAAGGCCGCCACTGTCCGGCGCGACACGCTCGCCAAGACACTCTACTCCAAGCTCTTTGACTGGTGAGGCGCGTCCAATAAGAGGTAGATCAGACTGGTTGGGATAGAGCACAAAAGGAATGAATGGTTGAAATGGAAACAGATCTCCTATGGCGATTTGGCGGATTGGGTGGATCGGGGGGGAATGCTAACCAGCATCGTGTGAAAGGAGAGTTGGTCCAGAAGGCAGAACCCCGATGCAACCTATTTACCCATACCAACCGCTTGGTCCGTTCGCCCCACACCACGGCGCCCCCTGCAGGATCGTGCAAAAGGTGAACCGGTCCATCGGGCAGGACGCCAACGCCATGGCCATCATTGGCGTGCTTGATATCTACGGCTTCGAGCACTTCAAGATCAACAGGTCAGCACTGGGCCAACAGGTAAGCACTTGAAGGGTCAACAGGTGCACAGTCGAAGGTCAACAGGTGCACACTTGAAGGTAGGCATGAGCAAAACCGGGTAATTACCCGACCCGACCCGGTTTTGCCATACCCGACCTCGGGTCGGGTAATTTCGGGTCGGGTCCGGGTCGGGTAATATGCCCAGGACCCTTACCCGGACCCGGTTTTTTTAGGCGGGTATTATAATACCCGCCTGGCGGGTCCGGGTATACCCGACCCGGACCCCCTGAAAAGCGGGTAATTTTACCCGCCACCTACTAGTGGACATCCTAAAGTTGGGCTAGGCTAGGTAGGGCTAGCCTAGGTAGGGCTCCACTCGTCCCCCCTCACCTCCTAAACTGTTTTGCCGCAAAACCTAAAACACAGCGCGACTTACGCCCATGTCTAGGTGGAATACCCGACCTCGGGTAATTTTTTACCCGACCGGGTCGGGTACCCGTCACCCGACACGTCGGGTAGCATTTCGGGTAGCGGGTATTGATACCCGGCCCGGGTAACCCGGACCCGACCCGGCGGGTAATTTTCAGGATTTCCGATACCCGACCCGCCCTAAAAGCGGGTCCGGGTACCGGGTACCCGACCCGGGCGGGTAGTTTGCTCAACCCTACTTGAAGGTCAACAGGTGCGCACTTGAAGGTCAACAGGTGCACACTTGAAGGTCAACAGGTGCACACTTGAAGGTCAACAGGTGCACACTTGAAGGTCAACAGGTGCACACTTGAAGGCAGCTTTGAGAAGTTCTCCATCAACACTCTTCCAGGCCCGGCCCACACCCAACCCTCCCCTTCCCTTTTCTTTCCTGTGTCATCTGCCGTGTTGCAGCTACATCTGCACTCTCTCATGCCCCGCTTACCCCTCTCCACCCCCCCTCACCTAGGCCCCCTCCACCCTTCTCTCCTCACTTTACCTCCCCCTCCATCCCCCCCATCCCCCCCACCAGCTTCGAGCAGTTCTGCATCAATCTCGCCAACGAGAAGCTGCAGCAGCACTTCAACCAGGTGAGGCGTTTCATCTCAACCAGGTCAGGCGTTTCATTTCAACCAGGTCAGGCGTTTCATCTCAACCAGTTCAGGCGTTTCATCTCAACCAGGTGAAGCGTTTCATCTCAACCAGGTGAGGCGTTTCGTCTCAAACAGGCGAGGCGTTTCATCTCAAACAGGTGGGCCGTTCAACCAGGTGGGGCGTTTCATTTTAAGCAGGTAAGGGGTGTTGGGCGGTGAGAGGGACGAGTGTGTTATGGTGGGGAGGTGCAATGCGGCAGAGGGACCGAGCGACAGCCAACTGGCCCGTTCAGTCGTTCGCCCAGCCCGCTGCTCCAATGCGCTGCTGCTGCTCACCTATCCGCCCCTCCATTCCTTTCCTTCCTTCGCTTCCTCTCCCTTCCGTTCTTCTCATTCGCTTCCTCTCCCTTCCGTTCTTCTCATTCGCTTCCTCTCCCTTCCGTTCTTCTCATTCGCTTCCTCTCCTCTCCTGGCTCCTTTCCGCTGTGTTCTCCCCTCCCCTCCCCACTGGGCAGCACGTGTTGAAGAGGGAGCAGGTGGAGAGTTGAGCGAGAGCAGATCAACTGGACCTAGCTTCTTCTCCTCTCCTCTCCCCTTATCTCCCTTTCCTGCTCCCTCTTTCTGTTTACTTGTCCTCACCGCTCCCCCACATGGCAGCACGTGTTGAAGCTGGAGCAGGAGGAGTACGAGAGGGAGCAGATCAACTGGAGCTACATCAACTTCAGGGACAACCAGGACGTGCTGGACCTCATCGAGGGGGTGAGATGCGCTGGACCTCATCAAGGGGGTGAGATGTGCTGGGGCCGAAACCCTAGAGTGGTCTGGTGAAAGGCATTGGTTTGGTAAAGTGCCATGAAGAGGATCGGAAGGTGGGCGCTGATGAGCAGAGAGCCACCTGAGGTGCATCAACTTCCGGGACATCCAGGACGTGCTTGGCGTGATAGGGGGGTGAGAGAGAGGCTTTGAGGGGGGTGAAGGGGTGAGAGGCATGGGGTGAAGGGGTGAGAGGCATGGGGTGAAGGGGTGAGAGGCATGGGGTGAAGGGGTGAGAGGCATGGGGTGAAGGGGTGAGAAACTTAGTGAAGGGGGTGGAAGCAGAAGGTGGCAGTCATGCAAGGTGATGGCACTGGGGGTGTGGAAAGGACCACCGCCCCACCGCCCCACCGCCCCACCGCCCCACCGCCCCACCGCCCCACCACCCCACCGCCCCACCGCCCCACCGCCCCACCGCCCCACCGCCCCACCGCCCCACCGCCCCAAGGGGTGGGATGTGCCTCACCGCCTTCTCACTCTAGCTCTTTGTCACCGCCTCCCTTGCCCCCTCCCCACCATCAGGTCAACGGCATTTCCACCATCCGCGACCCCCTCTGGTCGCCCCATCGCCTTCTCACTCTCCCCATCACCTTCTCACTCTCCTCTCCCTATCCGCTCCTCCCCTCCCCCCCGCCAGGACAAGGGCATTCTCAGCATCCTCGACTCCGCCTGGTGCGTCTTCCTCCGCGCTTCATAGCTCTATCCCCCAGCATCTTCGCCTCGCTTCGTTCTCCATTCTTTAGATCTCCATGCTCCAATATCCTTCATGATTCCCCATTTGTTGCTTTCCTCTCTTTATTGTCCATCGTTTTCGCCTCTGCTCCTCCAAACTTCAGTTGCCCTTTCACCTCTTCAATGCCCCCCCACCTCTGTCCCTCCTCCTCCCCCTTCCCACTCACCCCCTCTGCCCCACACTCACTCTCCGCACCTCCCTCTCACTGTGTCGCTCATCAGCATTCATGTTCCCCACATCCTCTCCCTCCTCTTTCCCCACCAACCCCCCTCTTCCCCCTGCCCTCCCATCTTCCCCAGCCGCCTGGCGCAGTCGACGGCGGAGGGCTTGACCCTCTCGCTGTACGACGCCTTCCTCAAGCACGAGCGCTTCTCCAAGTCCAAGGGCTCCGTCACCGACTTCACCCTCGAGCACTACGCTGGCCGGGTGAGACCAGTGGGCATAACTTCACCCTGGAGCACTACGCTGGCGGGGCGAGGAAGATTGGGCTCAACTGCTGTCTTGAATCTCTTGAATGGAACGGGCACCATTGGCCTTGCTTAGTATGTCTTGAAACAAGGCCAAGGGCTTGGTCACTGACTTGGCTTCACCACGAGTTCATGAGCACCAACATGGACGCGTGGAGTGGTGACTCTAAAGAACAACCGGCTTGGCTCGTAAACCCGAAACCCTCGGTGACCATGTCTAGTGCCATCCGCCCTGCCATCCCCCCCGCCATTCCCCCCCCCATCCCGCCCGCCATCCCCCCTGCCATCCCCCCGCCATCCCCCCGCCAATCCCTCCCGCCATCCCCCCTGCCATCCCCCCGCCATCCCCCCGCCAATCCCTCCCGCCATCCCCCCTGCCATCCCCCCTGCCATCACCCTCTCCCCCCAACTCCCCCCCCAGGTGAAGTACAGCACAGCGGAGTTCATCAGCCAGAACATGGACGCCGTGGTGGTGGCGGAGCACAAGGCTCCCCCAGTCAGGGCGCTCCCCTACCTCCACCCTCCCTGCCATCCCCCATTGCTGCTTTCTCCCCCCCCCCCCCCAGGTGAAGTACAGCACGGGCGAGTTCATCAGCAAGAACATGGACGCCGTGGTGGCGGAGCACGAGGCGCTGCTGCACAAGTCCACCGACCCCTTCGTGGCTGCACTCTTCCCGCCCGCCGCGCCCGCACCTGCCGACGACAAGGCGGGCAAGGCCGCCAGCAAGTTCGCCTCCCTTGGCCGCTCGTTCAAGGTATCTGCCGCACAGCTTGAGATTTTCTCTCAGGGTAAGCCATACCCAGTGCAACTCTCACACTTGCGTGTTCCCCTGCTGCTGCCAATGACAAGCCTCGCTGGCCGCCAGCAAGTTGACCTCATTTGGCCCCAAGGTATCTGCAAACACGGTTGAGTGCAGCCCTTGAGGTGACCCCATATGCAATGGCATTCTCAGGATTGGCACCCCAGTGTTCCCCCGCCTCTGCCGACGACAAGGCTGGGAAGAAAGGCTGCCAGCAAGTTGGCCTCACTGGGGCGCTCCATCACACCACACTGCAATCAGCACAGCCTTACCCTTCCCTCTGCCAATCCCTATTCACTCACCATTATTGTCTCTCTCTCTCTCTCTTCGTCCGTGTCTGCCTGCACCACCCTTCCACATTCTCTCCCTCCATACGTGTCTCTCACTCCATCCGTTTGTGCTCCCTCTCCACCGCTGCTCCCTCTCCACCGCTGCTCCCTCTCCACCGCTGCTCCCTCTCCACCGCTGCTCCCTCTCGCCCCGCCCCGTTTCTCTCTATGCGCCAGCAACAACTGGCGCAGCTCATGGAGACGCTCAACCGCACAGAACCGCACTACATCCGGTGCATCAAGCCCAACGCGCGGAGCCGCCCGGGCATGTTCCAGCGGGCCATGGTCACGGACCAGCTGCGGTCAGGGGTGAGTGATCTGGCGCTGCAGTCCTTTAGTAAGTGTTCAAGTGCTATGGTAGAATTTTTAGTGCCAACATGTTTTAGTGCTTGAGTAAGTGCTTTAGTGTGATTGTAGGCAAGTTGCATAAGCATGGGCTCGGACCAGCTGCGGTCCGTAGTGGCTGCTCTGCCTTCCCTCTTCTAGTGCTGAGTGCTGCAGCAAGTGTGCCTCTAGCTTTCTCTTACCCATCAAGCCTCCTGCACCCTGTTATTGACACCGCCTTTCTTCTCGCCTTCTTCCCGTCCCCAGCGCATAGCAGCGGGCGTTTCCACTGCCAGCCACGCTGAACACCTTGCTCTTGAGCATGCCCTTCCTCCCTCTCATCTCTTCCCACTCGCTCACTTTCCAGCGCAGCTCTTTCCGCCCACGGCGTGCTGGAGGCCATCCGCATGTGCTTCACCCTCTGCTCCTAGTGACTGACAGCCATTCCCCCCTGTTAGAGCTCTTCCCCCCCCGCCTTCAATGGCGCCTCTTTCCGCCCCGGGTGTACTGGAGCCTGGAGGCCATCTACATGTGCGGTGCTGGCTACCCCTCTCTGATCCTTTAAACTTTGAAACCTCCTTCCTGGCCCTCGTCTCCTCGCGCTCTGCAGGGTGTGCTGGAGGCCATCCGCATGTGCTCCGCCGGCTACCCCACGAGGCGCACCTTTGAGGACTTTGTGGACCGCTTTGCACTGCTGCTGCCCTCGCTGCTGGACCACGAGTGAGTGCCCTGCTGCTGCTGCCCTCCCTCCGTCTCCCCTGCTGCTGCCCTCCCTCCGTCTCCCCTGCTGCTGCCTCCCTCCGCCTCCCCTGCTGCTGCCCTCCCTCCGTCTCCCCTGCTGCTGCCCTCCCTCCGTCTCCCCTGCTGCTGCCCTCCCTCCGTCTCCCCTGCTGCTGCCCTCCCTCCGTCTCCCCTGCTGCTGCCCTCCCTCTGTCTCCCCTGCTGCTGCCCTCCCTTCGTCTCCCCTGCTGCTGCCCTGCTGCTGCTGTTCTCCATCTCCCTCTCACTGGCAGCGCCCCTCTCCTCATCTTTTTCATCCTCATACACACCTGCTTTCAGGCATCTTAGTCCCGCTCAAGTAACACATGCTTGGAGCTCGCTTACTCCCTGCCCCCTATTCTCTCCTCTGCTCCCCTCTGCCCCCCTCCTCCCCCATGCCCCAGCATGACGGACATCGAGTACGTGGAGGCGCTGCTCAAACATGCCAAGCTCGAGAACTACCAGGTGCCGCCTCACATGCCTCTTCGCATGCTTCTTCAGGTGCTTCTTCAGGTGCTTCTTCAGGGTGTTGGTCTGGCCATGTGCTGGCACTGGTGCTTGTGTTGCAGTCTTTGAAGCGTGTGCTTAAAGCGTTTCTACGCCCGTCCGCCCAAGTGTCCCCCTGCCCTGCCCTGCCCTGCCCTTCCCTGCCCTGCCCTGCCCTTCCCTGCCCTGCCCTGCCCTGCCCTGCCCTGCCCCTGCCCTGCCCTGCCCTGCCCCTGCCCTGCCCTGCCCTGCCCTGCCCTGCCCTGCCCTTCCCTGCCCTGCCCTGCCCTGCCCTGCCCTGCCCTGCCCTGCCCTGCCCTGCCCTGCCCTGCCCTGCCCTTCCCTGCCCTGCCCTGCCCTTCCCTGCCCTGCCCTGCCCTGCCCTGCCCTGCCTTGCCCTGCCCTGCCCTGCCCTGCGCAGCACACCTTTCGTGCCGCATTGAGGCCTGACACCAGGTTTGTTGCTGCTGTGCCTCTTGCCCCTTCCTTCCCCTCGGTCCCCATCACCACCATCAGGCTCGCTAGGCTAGGGCGTTCCTCCGTGAGGGCAGAGGGCGCGGCTGCAGCCACCATGCCACTGGAGGCGATTTCAGGGCCTCCGTTGCTCTCATCTCGCCTCTCTTCCGCTCCCCTTGTGGATCGCCACATCGGGCGGACCACCTGCTCCTGAGAGCGGGGCAGATGGTGGCGTTGCTGGAGCCCATGCCCCTCTCGCGGCGCCTCCAAGGGCCTTGTGTGTTTGCCTCCCCTCCGCCCCCCTCCACTGGCCCCTGGCCCATGGGCAGATCGGACTGACCAAGGTGTTTCTGAGGGCGGGCCAGATGGCGTTGCTGCAGACCATGCGCCTGGAGGCCATGAACGAAGCTGCCAGGAAGATTCAGAGGGCCACGCGGCGCTTCCTCTTCAACCGCCACCGCAGACGAGCAGCCCTCCTCATCCAGACGCACTGGCGGGGTAAGGCTTTAAGGGCCCCAATATGTGTCAGTTTTGCTATGCATGGGAATCAGCCGCTCCTAGAAAAGTAGGTCACTATACTGTGTTGCCTCTGAACCCAAGTCTCTCTCCCTTTCCCCTCTCCCGCTCACCTCAACTCATCACTTTCACGTGTCATGGCAGCAGCCACCACTATGCAGGTGACAGATAGACAGGGGGCAGCCACAGCTCTCTCATGAGCTTTCACCTCCCGCCATGGGCATGCCCGCAACAGTGAGGGGCTGGCAGCACTCTCGGACCTCCGAATTTTGTCACCCGCCTCCATATCCCTATCACTCTCCCTTGCTCCCTTCCCCCTGAAATCTCCCCAGGCTACTCGGCCCGCAGTGCATACTACCACCTGCGGCGGCTCGTGGCGGCGACAGCCATCCAGGCGGCGGAGAGGGGGCGGCAGCAGCGGGTGCGCTTCGTGGAGCTGCGGCACGCGGCGGTGGTGGTGCAGGCGGCGGTGCGCATGCACCTGTGCCGCATGCACTACGTGCACACACGGCGGGAGCTGGGAGCCACTCGCATCCAGGTGAGGTCAGCTGTGTGAAAGCTGCTCTGCTGCACCCGCTATGTCAGTACGAGGCAGGGCATGGCTGTTACCTGAAGTCCAGGTGGGTTCACTGGTGCGATTGAGGGCAGCATCGGGGACGGTGTCTAGAGATGAGGCATGCGAGCGCAGTGCAGTGGTGATCGGGGCAGCTGTGTGTGTGTGTGTGTGTGTGTGTGTGGGATGCGGGACTGCATTCATGTGACTGCAGTCCGCTGGTTCCGCGGCTTTTCATTGTGCGCTCTCATGAACCCGAGCACACCACCAAGCGCCCTGCCCTTGCTTCTGCTGCGCGCCTGCGATTCTTCCCCTCCCCTCAGAGCGCGTGGCGGGGATACGTGCAGCGCAAGCCGTGGAGGGCGCTCAAGCACGTGCTGGCGGCTAGAGTGGCGCGCCTGCGGCTGCACCACCTCAGGCTGGTGAGCGCTCCCCGTGTGACTCGCCTCTTCACCTGGTCAGTGGGTCTTAGGAATCGCCTGTAAAGCTGCTTCCCCACTCACTCCCCAGCTGGTTAGGCGGCTGCCCCTTGCCCCTGCCTGCTTTGCCCCAGGAGGCGAGCTGGCAGGCGGAGCTGGCACCCCAGCAGGCAAAGCTGTCTTGAGTACCTATAAGTTATAACGTCCCTCCCTGCCCGGCCCCACTTTCTAACTCCCCTCCCCCGACCCCTTGCCCCGGCCCGCTTTGCCCCAGGAGGCGAGCCGGCAGGCGGAGCTGGCGCCACCGCGCAAGAAGAAGGACGTGGCGATCGAGACGATCCGCATGATGACCCTCAGAGTGATGCGGGTGAGCTGATGCCCCTCAGATTGATGCGGTTGAGCTGATGACCCTCAGAGTGATGCGGGTGAGCTGATGCCCCTCAGAGTGATGCGGGTGAGCTGATGCCCCTCAGAGTGATGCGGGTGAGCTGATGACCCTCAGAGTGATGCGGGTGAGTGATCGGCTGATTGGGGAACGGCGCGTGAGTGATTGGGGTGAGATGGGGTCACCGCGCGCAAGAAGACCAACGTGGGGATCGAGACAATCTGCATGATGGCCCTCAGGCTGATGCGGGTGAGCGATGGGGGTGAGTGATGGGGTGGGTGAGTGATGGGAGTGAGTGATGGGAGTGAGTGATGGGAGTGAGTGATGGGAGTGAGTGATGGGAGTGAGTGATGGGAGTGAGTGGTGGGAGTGAGTGATGGGAGTGAGTGATGGGAGTGAGTGATGGGAGTGAGTGATGGGAGTGAGTGGTGGGGGTCAGTGATGGGGGTGAGTGATGGGAGTGAGTGATAGGGGTGGCGGCAGTGCGAGTGGTCCGAGTAGGTGATGATGGCAGTGTAAGTCATGCGGGTGAGTGATGGGGGTGCAGCAGTAATGGCTTGACAGGGCAGTCACAACAGGCTTGGTTATGCCTCTCACGGTCGCACGCAGGCCTTGCTTTTCACCCCCTCCACCTCCTTCTCCTTCTCCTTGCGTTGCCACTTGCGTTCCTCCTCGTCCGACGCCACTGCCCAATCTCCGCCATCCTCGATCCATGCGCCCACGTCACTGCGCGCCTGCCTGCCCACGTCACTGCGCGCCTGCCTGCCCACGTCACTGCGCGCCTGCCTGTCCACGTCACTGCGCGCCTGTCTGTCCACGTCACTGCGCGCCTGCCTGCCGCATCCCTGTGCAATCGCTCTCTCTTTTCAGGAGAAGGCCGAGAAGTCCCGTGCAACTGCAGAGCGCCAGCTGGCGGAGGTCCGCGCTGAGCTGGAGCGGACGAGGAAGGAGCTGGCAGGCAAGGGGCGTGAGGTGGCGCGGCTGCTGGGGCAGGTGGAGCAGGAGCAGCAGCGGGCGGCGCAGGCAGAGGCGCGGGTGGAGGAGGTGCTGCGGGAGCGCGAGAGGGAGCGCGTGGAGGGCCGCGAGCGCGTGCTGCACGTGGCATCGATGGCTGGAGGGACGCCGCAGCGACCAGCAGCAGGAGGGGCGCTCAGCAGCCAGCTGTCATTTGGGGGATCGGGCTTCTCCTCGTCGTCCTCGTCGCCCTCGGCCGCTGCGGCAGCCATAGCGGCGTTAGCAGGCCCCGAGCTGGGGGTGGTGGTGGACAAGCAGGTGGCGTCGCAGCAGGGGGGGGCCAGAGGCGTGGCGCCGGGGGGCAATCTGGGCGTGCCGGAGGGGTCGCGCATCCTCGCCCGCATGGCGTCGAGAAGGTACCCCTCGCCGCACGCACCCGGCAAGCACCCCACATGGGAGGAAATGGCTGCTTCCGCTGCCGCTGCCACTGCTGCTGCCGGTGCCGGTGCTGCAGGGGCTGGTGGCGCTGCTCTCACCAACTCGCCCTCTCTATCGTCCTCCTCCAGCCGCTCCTCGCCCGTGCCTCCCTTCACCCACGCCTCTGCCTCCGCTGCGTCCGCGGCTCTCATGGCGTCACCCCCCGGCAGCAGCGGCGGGGGCATGGCAGCGGCGGCAGCAGCGGCCATAGCAGCGCTGGAGCGCGTGGACGGCGCAGCGGCAGCGGCGGCGGCTGCCCTCACTGGCGAGGCGGGGGCTGATGGGGGTTCCAGGCACCATGGCAGCTCGGACGGCGCCCACCTGCCGTCCATCCGGGAGGCGGCGTCGCGGGAGGAGGGCGAGGAGAAGAAAGTGGTGGCTGTCAGCCGCAGCAGCAGCGGCGGCGGGGATGGCACCAGCCTCAGCACGGGTGGCAGCAGCAGCGGCTTGAGGCACGTGCGCTTCCCGGCTGCTGGGGCGGAGGAGAGCGAGGCAGAGGGCGCCTACACGCGCTCTAGCACACTGCCAGCAGGGTCGCTCTCAGCAGCAGCGAGGAGCACGTTCCGGCAGCGACCCATGCTCAAGAGCCCCGCGGCTGCTGCGGATGGTGCCGGGGGGTCTGGAGGCATCAGCGATACGGAGGCGAGATCCGGCAGGATCCGACGGCTGCAGTCGTTTAACCCGCGGCTGAGTGGTGGAGGGGCAGGAGGAGGGAGAGCAGCCGGGGTGGAGGGTGGTGCAGCGGCAGGGTCGGGAGGGCCGGGCGTGCCGCGGCCACTGGCGCCGACAAGGTCGCTGACCCGCGAGGAGGCCACCCGCATGCTGGCGAGTGCGCAGAGGGAGGTGGAGGACGCTCAGAAGGTGAGTCGTGCTGGTGGGAGGGAAGGTGAGAGGGAGGCAGGAGAAGGTGAGAGGGAGGCGGGAGAAGGTGAGAGGGAGGTGGGGGAGAGAGGAGGGGGAGAAAGCGAGAGAGGCGGGAGAGAGAAGGTGAATGGAGGAGGGGGAGAAGGCGAGAGAGGAGGGAAGGAAGGTGAGAGAGGAGGGAGAGAAGGTGAGAGAGGAGGGAGAGAAGGTGAGAGAGGAGGGAGAGAAGGTGAGAGAGGAGGGAGAGAAGGTGAGAGAGGAGGGAGAGAAGGCGAGAGAGAGGAGGGAGAGAAGGCGAGAGAGAGGAGGGAGTGGGAGGGTAAGAGGAGTAGAGCAAGTGGGGTACAACAGGGGGGGTTTCAGAGTGCAAGGGATGGTGGATTGTGGGGTTTTGAAGCACAGACTCCCTCCCTCCCTCCCTCCCTCCGTCCCCCCCCCGAACCCCGCCCCCAGCACAAGGAGGAGAGCCGGTGGCTGCAGGCGGCGTACCGGGAGGCGGAGCAGCGGGCAGAGCAGGCGCTGGAGGCGGCGGCGGTGGAGCGGCTTCGCATTGGCGAGCTGCAGGCGGCCATGGCGGGGAAGGACGAGGAGATCAGGGAGCTTCAGGAGAAGAACCAGGAGCTGCAGCACGCACTCACGCTGTCAGTGGCCAGGGCTTGTGCTGGTGGCGATGTGTGGTCACGGCGCTGCATCGCTGCAGGGTCACCGTCGCACAGCGATGCTGTTGCAACTTGGCTTGTCATGTCGCATGCCACATGTCTCTCGTCACATGTTGTGTGCCAAGTGTCGCTTGCCACATTTCTCCGTCTCCCCGGCTTTTCCCAAATCAGAGTCTCTCTCCACGCAACGCGTCACCCGTCCCTCATCAGCATGGCAGTCCGCACTGCTCGCACGGGCGCCTGCTGTTCCTCGCATGACGCCGCCCATCCACCAGCATCTCTCCTCTACCGCCCCGCTCACTAACTTCTCCCCCTCCCCCCTCACCTCCACCTCTCCTCCGTCCCGCCTGCGGCAGCAAGGCCAAGGAGGTGCGCACGCTCAGCCAGCGACTCCTGCTGTCTCACCCTGCCAGCGACACGCCGGCGCTGCCCGTGGACAAGCAGCAGGTGCGTCTTGCGCTGCCCGTGGACACGCAGCAGGTGCGTCTTGCGCTGCCCGTGGACAAGCAGCAGGTGCGTCTTGCGCTGGCCGTGAACAAGCAGCAGGTGCGTCTTGCGCTGCCCGTGGACACGCAGCAGGTGCGGCTTGCGCTGCCCGTGGACAAGCAGCAGGTGCATACCTACTAGAGCAAGCCTGAAGCCCCTTCCTCTGAGCCCTCATCCCGAACCACCAGCCGGCGCTGCTCTCCCCACAGACGAGAGGCACCTGGTGTCTCTGGTAAACCTTAAACCCTGACTTTCAACCCTCAACCTTAGACCTTAAACCCTCAACCTTCATGTCCTCCTCGACTCTCCCCCCTCCCTGCTGTGTCTACCTCATGTGCACGGGGCCTCGCCTCGCCTGTGCTTCCCCTTCCCCTCGTCTTCCCCCACCCGCTGTCCGCACAGCCCCCCCAACCCCCCCCCTGCCTCTCTCCAGGAGCCCCTAATCCTCCAATTGCCTTGCATGTGCGTGCCCTTTGGCCCATGCAGCCATTCCAGAAGACCCCCACCTTTCACTCCCTTCTCCCCCTTTCCCTTCGCCCGCTCATCCCCCAACCCCACACCTGCCGCCTGCCCCCCATGACCTCCAGTGGTCAGAGGTTGCCAGCACCTGCATCCCCTTCGACACTCCAGGCCAGGTGGTGGCGGCGTGCGTGGTGCACCGGGTGCGGCAGCAGTGGGACGCGCTGGAGGCAGAGAGGAGCGACACTCATACCCCTCCCTCCCTCCCTCTCTTTTCCTCCCGTCCCTCCCCCTCCCCCTCCCCTCCCAGGAGCTGCTGCTATTGGAGGTGGCGAGCACGCGCTTCGCGTTTGGCCCGGAGGGGCAGGCGGTGGCAGCGTGCATGGTGTACCGCGCGCTGCAGCAGTGGGGCGCGCTGGAGGCGGAGCGCACCAACACGTTCGACCGCATCGTGGAGGCGTTCCAGCGGGGGTCCCGGGACGAGCTGCTGCCCTCGCAGGCCTACTGGCTCACCAACCATGTCACACTCTACTACCTCGTGCAGGTGGGTGCAGTGCGTCTCAGAGCGGTGGCTTTGTGATGGGGTGTGGGTGTTGTGTGGTGGGTTGGCTGTGGGGAAGGATGTGTTGAGCGGGTTTGCCTCGGCACTTCCCGAGCAGTGTTTCCGGGATTGGCTGAGCTGCTGTGGTGGTGCTGCTGGCGATCCCCACATGCTAGCGCTCTGACGTGGCTCGTACCTCCATGCGCCCCTTCCTGTTTCCCCCTCACCCTCCATCCTCACATCCCCTCTTTTGTCCTCTCATCCCCCCCCCCCCACCCCTCTTCCCAATTCCCCCACTCCCCTCCTCACCCCGTCCTCCCAGGTGGTGTACCAGCCGCCAGTGCAGCACGCGTTCCAGGACAGCTTCTCCTTCTCCTTCTTCGGCATGGCCTCCCGCCCGCCCCTTGCGGTCAGTGCACTTCCTCTGTGCACTTCCTCTGTTCCCTTCATCCCCATACCGCCCTGCACTACTCCCCTCGCTGCAGCACAAGCCGTCCTTCCAAGACATGCATTTGATGCTGTTCCTCTTTCCACCACTTTTCACTCCACGCCACCCCTTACTGCTCTTCCCATGTATCACCCCCCCAGCACGTGCGTCCGATGCTGTTCACCCTTCCCTCCGGTACCCCCCAACTCCCCCCATTGTGTCGTTGCACCGCCAGCCCAAGCCGGCCTCCCAGCGTGTGGATCTGACGCTGTTCAAGCAGCAGCTGGCGACGGGCACGGAGCGCCTCTTCGTCACCATCCGCGACACCGCCAAGGCCGAACTAGCCAAGCACTTCGCACTGCCCTCGCAGGTTGGACGGTGAATGCGAGGCCATGGTTGGACGGTGAATGCGAGCCCATGGTTGGACGTCGACTGTGAGAGCATGGTTGGACGGTGAATGTGAGCCCATGGTTGGGTGAACGGTCAGAAGGTCATCAGGCCTCGAGCCACGCTCTGTTGCTACCAGGGACTCGTGAAGCGGAGGCCGTCAAGCTGACTACGGGTGATCCGCTGTGGATTTGAGTGGACGGTTGAGAGTTGAATCTTGTTCAGAGAGGAGTTGAGCAGGGTGCGGAGTCAAGAAGGCTCCTGCGCATTGCTTGCTGTTGAATCTTCTCCAGGTCGCCGCCCAGCTTCATTCACCACTCTGTTTCTGCTGCCAATTCCTGTTCCCCAGCCATCCCTCCCCCACCAATTCCCTGCCCGCTTCACCCACCTCCGCCCGTCCTCCCCTCAACAGCAGGAGGCGGCAGCAGCAGATGCCGACGCGGACAGCGCAGCCGGTGACGCTGCAGCAGGGGGGGCGGGTGCAGGCGGGGCTGGCAAGGCAGGCGGCGGCGGGGGGAGGAGGCTGGCGCGGGCGCGGGCGAGGGGCGGGGGGCGGTCGGGAGCGGCGCTGGTGAGGAAGCACGTGGTGAACTACTGGGCCAATGTGGTGGTCACGCTCAAGCAGGTGCGGCAGCCGGCAGGGTTGTGCCTTGAGCCTTGCATGCGCGTGTGAATGCCTCAAGCCTTGGACCCCGGTATGCTTCCCCGTGCCGGTGAGGAAGCACGAGGTGAGCTGTTGGACCAATGTGGTGGTTACACTAGTGCAGGTGAGACAGCAGTCAGCAGCCACGTTCCAGCGACCTGTATTCACCCCCCTTCTCCATCCCCTTTTTTTCCACCCATCCACCAGCTGACGGCCATGCTGCTGGCAACCACGTGCCGGCAGTGCTGGTTGCTGCATCGATGCATTCATGCCACCCCACACGGTTCGCCCCTTACTTGCACGAGCAAACTTACACTAACACCATGCACCATGTGCCATACAGGTGACGGGCGTGCTGCTGGCCAACCACATGCCAGAGGTGTTGGTGGACGCCGTCCTGATGGTTTCACTTCCCCTCGCCTCCACCCTTCCATTCACCATCCTCTTGCTCCGCTGCGCCACACCCCACCAGGTGATGTGACGGCCATGCTGCTGGCACATCACATGGCGGCGGTGGCTGTGGCCACATTGGCGTCGCCGTTCACGCCTCTGTTCCCTTCACCATCGCCTCCCCTCGCCCTGTCCATGCAGGTGACGGGTGTGCTGCTGGCGAACCACGTGCCAGCGGTGCTGGTGGATGCGCTGCTGCGGCAGCTGCTCTTCTTCGTCAACGTCAAGATCGTCAACGGGTGAGCGCACACACCACGGTCAGCACTGCCATGCGCCAGGCAAGTGTGTCTTCTGCACACAAGCCTCCCTCCCCTCTCCTGCCATGCACCCATTCCCCATGCCCGCCCTTTCCTCATAGGTTACAGTGAGAGATATCCTCATCATCCCCTCTCTCCCACTCCCCCCCCCCCCCTCTCCTTCTGTTCTGCTCCACCCTCATGGCATGACACTATGTTGGAAAAAACACACATTTGTGTTTGCGTATTGCGTTTAAACACACCAAAAATACGTATGCTGCGTTTCATTATGTTTAGATTCGCCAAAAAAGGCACAGGCTGACCGGAAAAAAAATCCCCCAAAGCCTCAGCGACAGTACGCAACTGGGCAAAAAAAAAGAGGGTTTCGCCCATCGCAAAAGCAGATTTTTGGCTCAAATTTCGAACTCAAAGCGCACCAGCTCCCCCTCTCAACTGCTAATTGTGAGAAACTGAAGACATGATTGTATTAGGAAAGGAGCTGGTATACATAGGTGAGGAGCAGGAGGGGGGTTTGGTTGGGAGGTGACCACGATTATTGGTGACCCCAATAAGTGGAGTTGGCCAACTTATTGGGGGTCCAATAATCCTAGCCAAGATTATTGGTGGGTCCAATAATCTTGGTTCGGATTATTGGGGGTTCTAATAACTGGGAGCCCAACCAATTTGGGAACCCAACCCCCAACCTGGGTGTATACACCCTAGTGGGGAGCTTATAAGTGTAGAAAAGTAGACTCGATGTGCATAGCTGTAAGATGCACAAGTTGGAGATGGTAAAGATAGGTTCCAAGAGGAGCCCTAGAAAGTGAAAAGGTAAAAAGGTGAATAAAGATGACAAAGACTGTTGTAAAATATATATCTATACAACATGCATGCCTAGATTAGGAGGTGTAGTCATTCTAATTATTGGGGGTTGTTGGTTGGGTTGACCAACCCCACATTTGGGTTGGTTAAGATTGGATTTGGTCCTAGACATTTGGTTGGCACTATTCCAACCAAATGGTCCTTGGTCCTAGGAACCAACCAATCACCAAGCACCACACTTTGTGGTTGCTTGCCTTCCAAGCAATCTCTCTCATTGGTCCACATTGTGGCCAATCGGAGAGCACCACACTTTGTGGTTGCTTGCCCTACAAGCAACCTCTCCCATTGGTCCACTTTATGGCCAATAGGAGAGCTTCCCTTCCAACTCTTTCTTGCTCCTTGTTTTGTACAAAAGAGCCTCTTGGCTCCCTACTCAATTCAATCTTTTCTCTTCCAAGCTAATTCCTTCATGGTATTCAGAGCTACAATGGCTCACGCCACCTCTAGTCGATCCTAACTAGCACGGCCGTATGCCGTCCCTCCTCGTCTTCGAAGCCTAGCCCTTCCTTAAGGCTCCTTCCCGCGCCCCCCGTGCGCCCTCTCCCGCCGCGCTATTCCGTCGCGCCCGCTCTTCCTCCCGTCCCGCGCCTTTTTGCCGCGCCCGCTCTCCCTTCCGTCGTGCGCCTCCCGTCGCGCTTGACGACGCGCTTCTAGCCGTCGCATCCTTCTACTGCGCCCGTTGGTGCGCTCCTCCGTCGCGTGGCCCGTCGTCGCACCCTCCCGTCGCGCCCTCCCGTCGCGCGCCTTCCGCGTTTGCGCGCACCCGTCCGTCGCGCTCTCCGCGCGCCCGACCGTCACGGCTCCCGCGCACGCCCGTCGACAAATTCTCCCACCGCGCCCGTCGCCTTTCGGTCGCCGCGCGCGCACGGCCGTCGGTCGATTTCTCCGCCGCGTGCGCCCGCCCGTTGTCGATTCCGCCGTCGCGTGCACCCGTTCGTCGCGCCATTTCGGCGTGCAGCCGGCCGCCGCATCTTCCTTGGAGCGCGTCGCGCAGCTCGTTTAAGTCGCCTTCGGCGACTTAAGAGCTGCGCTCAGCGCACCTATCCTTCTCCTCCCTCCCCCCTTCTCCTCCTCCTTTCCTTTTCCTCCTCCTTTCCTTTTCCTCCTCCTTTCCTTTTCCTCCTCCTTTCATTTTCCTCCTCCTTTCCTTTTCCTCCTCCTTTCCTTTTCCTCCTCCTTTCCTTTTCCTCCTCCCCCCCCCCCCCCCCCCCCCCCCCTCCTTCCCCTCCTCCTCCTCAATGGCGTCCGATTCCTCGGTGGACCTTACCTCCGTCGACGCTCTTGAGCTGCTGCCCGACAACACCGCGGTCAATTGGCATTCCTATGCCCAAACCGTCACGGTGCTTCTCTCCTCAGTGACGGTCAACGGCTACAACCTGAAAGCCGTTGTCCATCTCGAGGAGCGCGGTCTTCAGCCTGCCCAGCCGGATGCTCCCGCGTGCCCTGCACCTCCTCCTCCTGGCGATGCTCCCGTCAGCCCCGGCGATCCTCCAACCTTCGCCCCTGACGTCAACGACCCTCAGAGCTCCGAGACCGCCATCCGCACCTACCGTGCCGGCCTCACCGACCACGTCCGCCAGCAGCTGCTCTTCGAGGCTTCCCGCGCCGAGCATGACGCCGCCACTGCCGCCTACAACACGTATCAGGCGGCGCTCGCGGAGTACGTCAGGCGCGAGCGCGCATACGTCACCGACCTCGCTGCCTGGCGTGTCGCTGACCGGCGCGCGCTCACCATCCTCCTCGCCACCATTCCTCCCACCCTCAAGCGCGAGCTTGCTCCCACCTCCTCCTCCCACCTCTGGCGGCTCCTCACTGATCTCTATGATCGGCAGGACGTCGCCATCCTCTACTCCCTCATCAAGGAGTTCCAGAGCCTCACCATGGACTCTACCACCGGCGCAGCTGCCTTCACGCGTCGCGTCCTCGACCTCGCTCGGCGTCTGGCGGCTCTTGGCGTGCCGTACCCGGACCTAGTGCTCTGCTGCCACCTCCTTGAAGGCTTGACTCCTGCCTTCGACACCCATAAGATCGCCTACATGCAGCTGATCGACAAGCGCATCACCCCGGCTGAAGTCGCCCAGTGGATTATCACCACTGAGGCCGACCTCTTGCGCCATTCCTCCTCCATTGCCGCTGTTGCTCAGCAGCGCAACACCAGGGGAGGGCGTGGGGGTGGGCGTGGCGCTGGTCGTGGTGGTGGCGCGGGTCGTGGTAGCAATGGCGCAGGACGTGGTGCAGCAGCCGCCTTTCCTCCTTGCCAGTATCTCCCTCGCTATGGCCCCACGCGGGGTCAGCGCTGCGGCCAGACCACTCATGCCACTGATTCTTGCTTCAAAGCGCTCAGTGATGAGTGGTTTGCCCGCGGCAACACCGGCACCCCCCCCCGCTGGTCCTCCCTCTCTCCTCGCCCCACTCCTCAGGAAGTTCGTACCTCCCCTCTTTTTCAGCCCGTCTCCTCCCCCTTGGCCCACCAGGCCGTCTCTCAGCATCAGCAGCAGCAGCAGACTCCGCAGCAGATCCTGCCGCAGCCGTTTCAGCAGCAGCAGCAGCAGCAGCAGGGGCAGCAGCACCTCTTCTCCCAGTTGCAGCAGCAGCTCCAGCAGCTCCAGCAGCAGCTTGACCTCTAGTCACAGCTCCCCCTTGCACCTCCTCCTATGGCTCCCCCCCAGCAGCCCTACCCCGCTTGGACCGCCGGCACCGCCGCTTCCGCAGCTCACCTCTCGGGCGCGTCTCCCGCGCCCTCAGCCACAGGCAGTGTGACTCCTTTCCCCTCCTCTGGTTTTGTTGGCATGGTTAGCCAGGCTGGAACCCCCGCCCCTTCTATGTATTCGGCTGCTATTAATGAGAATGTGATTCAGTACTCCGTCCCACCTCCTCCCCCACATCCTCCCCCCTCCACCACGCTGGACTTTGTCCTTGACAGTGGAGCCACCGAGTCCGTCCTTCGTGATGCTGGTACCCTTCACCCTCTCCCAGCCCCCACCTCCCTCCTTGGTGCCGATTCCAGCTTCTCTATTCCCTGTCGCCACACCTCTACCCTCCCCTGTCCCCTCTTCCCCTCAGGTACCGTCACTGGTTTACACATCCCCTCCCTCCGTACTAACCTCCTCTCCCAGCGATCCCTGCAGCAGGCCGGTATCACCACCGTCTTCCCAGGTCGCGCTAATCACTGCCTCCTATACCATCCCACAGGTCGCCTCCTCTCCCGTATTCCCTTTTGTCCTCTCTCCCGCCTATATACCCTTCGAGTTCCTCGTCTTCCCTCTGCCCAGGCAGTCTCCCGCTCCCTCCCCCCACCTCACATCCCTCCCCCTCCTCTCCCTCCTTCTAACCCAACCATTCCCCCCCTCCCCCCTGACCCAACCTGCTCCTGTCGATCCCTCTCCCATCCCACCGTCCTCCTCCACCACAGGCTTGGTCACCCCAACTTTGCCACCCTCCGCTCGACCGTCTCCTCAGGTCTCCTTCGAGGTCTTCCCCTCACCCTCCCTCCCCTCCCTCCCTCCCTTGCCCCACCCTGCTCCGTCTGTGTCCAGAGCAAGCTCAAGCAGCTGCCGCATCGGAGTTCCCCCTCCGCTGATGCTCAGCCGCTTGATCTTGTTCACATGGACCTCTGGGTAGGCATGAGCACGGGGCGAGGCGAGGATTCCTTGACCCGAGGATCTCATCCTCGCGCCCTAGCCGGGGCGGGTCGAGGAATCCTCGCCGAGGATTTTTCATGAAAATCCCCCCTCGACCCCCGGGTTTTGGGGTCGAGGATTGAAATCCTCGCCTCGAGGATTAATTCCTTGACCCGGGGCGAGGATTCCTTGACCTGGGCGGCTGGGGGGTTAGGGGGAGGGGGGTAATGGGAACATCCTCGCCCATTTGCCTCGAGGAAAAATCGAGGCCTCGAATCCTCGCCGAGGCGGGGCGAGGAATCCTCGCGAGGATTTTTCACAGAAAACCTGCCTCGACCCCCGGAATTTCGAGGCGAGGATTTCCGAGGCGAGGAAATCCTCGCCTCATTGCTCATGTCTACCTCTGGGGCCCCAACCCCTCCCCTTCCCGCCAGGGCCATCGCTACATGCTTGTTCTAGTCGATGATCACAGCCGATATTCGTCCGTCTCCCTTCTTCGCTCGAAGGGTGATGCTTCGGCTGCGATCATCGCCTGGCTCAAGCAGGCGAGCACCCACTTTGGCCGCCCTGTGCGCCGCCTTCACTCTGATGGCGGTGGTGAATTCCTTAATCGTCAGGTAGCCTCCTACTGTGAGCTTCATGGCATTCGCCAGACTCACACCCTCCCCCACTCCCCCCAGCAGAATGGTGTGGCCGAGAGCCGTGTTCGGGAGATCACCAAGATTGCTCGGTGCCTCCTCGTCCATGCCTCTTGCCCCCCTTCTCTGTGGGGCTATGCCCTCCTTCACGCCACCCTCCTTACTAACCTGTACCCCCACCCTATCCTTCCCTCCACCACTCCCACCGAGCTCTGGACGTCGGCCAAGCCTGACGTCTCCTCCCTCCGTGTGTGGGGCTCCAGGGCGTATGTCCTCATTCACCCTGCGGACCGCCCCCGCACCATGGGAAAGCTCGCCTCCCGTACTCTCCCCTGCATCTTCCTTGGTCATAATCCCTCTTCCCCGGACTACCTCTTCCTTCACCCCCCCTCAGGTCGTTTCCTCCGCAGTCGGGATGTAGTCTTTGATGAGTCCACACCCTACTATTCCACTCCTCCCCCCACTGACCCTCTCGCCCCTGCTCCCAGGCCCCTCAACTGGTCCGACACTATCCCACCCCCTCTTCTCCCTCCCCCTCCCATCCTCCCTCCCGCTCCACCTCCTCCATTCCCCGCCGCCTCGGTCCCTAGTGCTCCCCCCTCCTCTGGTGACATATTTGACCCTGACCCTTTTTTTCCCCCCGCCTCCCCGTCCCACTCCTCCCCCTCCGCTCCCTCCCATCCTCCCCCCTCCCCCCCACGTCCCCCTCCCCCCTTGCGTCCCACCCGCTCCATCCTTACCCGGTATCCCCACACCAGGTCGCGTGACGCAGTCCTAGGTGCCCCGCCTCCTGTTATCCTCTCTTCCTCTCCCTTGCCTCCTCTCTCCCCTCTCATGGACCTCCTTTTTCAGACAGTCTTACAACAAAACACTAGCCCAACCCTGCCGTCGAGCTCCAGTACAGCAGCCCCACCAGCAGCAGCAACAGCTGCAGCAGCAGTTCCACCCACCGCAGCAGCACCAGCAGCAGCAGCCGCCGCTCCTTCCTCGCCTTCACCCGCAGCAGCAGCAGTGGCGGCAGCAGATGCAGCAGTAGCAGCCGCCTCAGCAGCAGCAGCAGCAGATGCATCCTCAGCAGCAGCAGCAGCAGCAGCAGCGGCAGCATCAGCAGCTGCAGTCCTCCCATTCATTTTCCACTCCTCCCTCCTCGAGGACTCCCATGAGGAGATCCTCAACCTCCACCTGCATGATCCAGCCCTCCTACCCATCTCCCCTGACCTCAGCGGCACACCAGTCTTCGCCTTCTCCTCCGCCCCCACCATCTTCGTCCCCGCTACGTACGAGGAGGCCATGGCGTGCCCTGACGCTCACCTCTGGCTCGCGGCCATCCTCAAGGAGTTGGAGGCGTTTATTGCCAACTCCTCCTTTGTGGATGTGCCACGCCCTCCCTCTACCACGAACGTGGTCAAAGGGAAGTGGGTGTTTCGGGTGAAGCAGCTTCCTGGCGAGCCGCCAGTCTACCAGGCCCGCTACATCGCCAAGGGCTTCACCCAGCGCTACGCTGTCGACTTCTTCGACACCTTCTCTCCCACCGCCAAGCCCGCTACCATTCGCGCAGTCCTCGACCTCGCCGCTCGCCTCAACATGGAGATTCACTCCATGGATGTCTCCAACGCATTCCTCCAAGGGGTCTTGCGCGAGCTCATTTACATGGAGCGTCCTGCAGGCTTCCATCTCCCCTTTCCGTCCGACTCTGTTTGGCAGCTGCGTCGGCCGGTCTATGGGCTCAAGCAGGCACCAAGGGAGTGGCATGCCAAGCTTGCTGCCACCCTCGCCGAGCTTGGCTTCAGCACCTCCCGTGCCGACCCCAGCCTCTTCCTCCGCACCTCCCCCTCCCCCTTCTACATCCTCGTCTATGTCGACGATATGATCCTCATCACTGCCGACTCCGCCGAGCTCGAGCGCGTCAAGCGTGAGCTTGGCAGCCGGCTCAAGTGTAAGGATCTAGGGGAGCTGCAGCACTATCTCGGCATGGAGATTACCCGCGACCGTGCTGCTCGCACCATCTCCCTCTCCCAAGGCCACTACCTGCAGCAGGTCTTGGAGCGGTTCGACATGGCTCGAGGCACCCCTCAGGTCACCCCTCTTCCTGTTGGGCACCACCTCACTCCCCTCACCTCCCCCTCCTCCTCCTCCCACCCCTACGCTGAGCTCATCGGCTCTCTCATGTATGCCATGGTCTCCACCCGCCCTGACCTGGCATACCCCATCAGCGTTTTGGCCCGCTTCGTTGGTACCGGCAAGCATGATGCCGCCCACTGGCAAGCGGCCAAGCGTGTCCTCCGCTACCTTCGGGGGACCAAGGACTACGTCCTTACCCTTGGCGGCCCCTCCCCTCCCCTCCTTACTGGCTACTCTGATTCCTCCTGGGCTGACTCTAGGCCTGACCGCCGCTCCTCTCAGGGCTATGGCTTCTCTCTTGGCAGTGGCCTCATCAGCTGGCGCTCCACCCGCTCCTCCTCCATTGCCCTCTCCTCCTGCGAAGCAGAGCTGTATGCCGCTACCATGGCTGCGCAGGAGGCCCGCTGGCTCTCCTTCCTTCTTGAGGAGCTTGGTGCCCCTCAGCGCTGTCCCACCATCTGGTGCGACAACGCCAGCACCATCCACCTCACGAAGGATGCCGTGTTCCACGGGCGCTCCAAGCACATTGAGCTTCGCCACTACTTCATTCGCGAGCTTGTGCAGGGTGGCCACCTCCAACTGGGCAAGATTGACTCTGCTGCCAATCTTGCCGACATCTTCACCAAAGCCCTCCCCCACGCCGCCCACTCATCCCTCCTTCGCCTTCTTGGACTCGCTCCCCCTGTTCCCTCGTCCACCTCCTGATTCAAGCCCTCTAGTCTTATGCATGTTGGGGGGTTGTGTTGTAAAATATATATCTATACAACATGCATGCCTAGATTAGGAGGTGTAGTCATTCTAATTATTGGGGGTTGTTGGTTGGGTTGACCAACCCCACATTTGGGTTGGTCAAGATTGGATTTGGTCCTAGACATTTGGTTGGCACTATTCCAACCAAATGGTCCTTGGTCCTAGGAACCAACCAATCACCAAGCACCACACTTTGTGGTTGCTTGCCTTCCAAGCAATCTCTCTCATTGGTCCACATTGTGGCCAATCGGAGAGCACCACACTTTGTGGTTGCTTGCCCTACAAGCAACCTCTCCCATTGGTCCACTTTATGGCCAATAGGAGAGCTTCCCTTCCAACTCTTTCTTGCTCCTTGTTTTGTACAAAAGAGCCTCTTGGCTCCCTACTCAATTCAATCTTTTCTCTTCCAAGCTAATTCCTTCAAAGACATTGGGCTAAGTAGGCCCAGATTGTGAAGAAGAGAGAGATGGAGAAGTGCTGGGCGACTTGGGCTGGTCCAGGTGAGGAGAATGGCACCCAAGAGACTTGGGGTGCCCAATTGGGTGCTCAAGTCGCCCACAGTCAAGGTGGGGACGTGAGGAACCCTCAAAGTGGGCCTGGAAGCGCCCCCACTAGTGGAACCGCAATTCCACAAGTTGGATTCGTGGTTCCACAAGCTGGAGCCGCTTTTTCATGGTTGAGAAACGTGGGTACTAAGTTGACTACATCCCAGATAAAAGCCTAAAACAGATACTCAACAACAATAAGTACCTAAGACAGTGAAACGATGCAGGCTAATAGAATGAAGGGAGAATATTCTAACACTAACCACCACTCTCCATCCCGTGGTTTGCTTTTTCCTCCCAACCCATCGTCGAAACGAGTTTGCCACAACCAGAGTCAGCTCTCCTGGCTATTATACGCCCATTCCAGCATTTTAAACTCACTCTCAACTCCCTTCTAAACTCACCTAGTTTTCCCTCCACCATGACATCCACTCCTAGAACAACGTCCCCTACCCCGACTGCTCGGGAAAGTTTTGAAGCTGCCCGAGCCTCCGTATTCTGTGCGTACCAGACTCCCCCTTCTGTAGCGTTTTGCCTGTATACGCTTGCGTACAAAACGTGAAGCGCGTTTTTTCCAACATAGGCATGGCACGGTCCCACATGCGTCCCTCACATGCAGTGCTGTCCCTCACATGCAGTGGTGGTGCCCATGCAACTACAGCAACGGCGCGCTCCTGGGGGAGTCAGCAGGCCTTGTCTTCGTTCTCCTTGCCCCCACGCCTGCAGGCTGATGGTGCGGTCGCAGTGGTGCCCATGCACCTATAGCAACGGCGAACTCATGGAGGAGGGGCTGGGGCGGCTGGACCAGTGGGTGCACGACGTGGACGTGCAGCTGCGGGACGCCATGGGCGGCACCAAGGAGCCGCTCAAGAAGGAGCTCAGGCACATCCGACAGGCCATCTACTTCCTGGTGAGGACAAGTATTTGCTGACAGGCAATGTGGGCGTGGTACGGCCTTGAGCGGTGGATCTAAGCCTGGTGTATGGTGAGGTCGTGTGGCACTCATAACGCCTGGGTCAGTGGATCAGTGGGGGCATGACGTGGAGGTGGAGGCCATTGACGCCATGGGGGGGAGTGAATCACAGTGGAAGAGGGAGGTGGGGCACATCCGACAGGTTGCCCACTTGTTGGTGAGGGCTTATGCTTTCTGGAAGCTTGGAGACGTGGATCGATGTGTGCTGCACGGAGTGAGGACAGCCGCCTCAGGTGCTCGTTCTGGTGATCACATTCATGTTCACATTCACATTCACATTCACATTCACGCACACAACCCCCCAACCGCCCACCCCAAGCCGGTGTGAACATGCCTTCTCGGTGTGTGTTGTCGCTCAACCCCCCTTGCCCCACACTGTGGACTGCAAGCTGCAGCGGTCCCTAGAAGAAACTGAGCTGTGCCCAGGCCCTGACCCTGAACCGGGTGGAGCACATGTGCATCTGGCACGAGCATGGCACATATGGCATTGCAGCCACGCATACCCACCTCCCCGCCCCCCCACCTTCCCCCAAACCCCCTCCCTTCCCGCAGACGCTGGACCACAAGCCGCGGCGGTCGCTGGAGGAGATAGAGGAGCTGTGCCCGGACCTGACGCTGAACCAGCTGGTGCACATGTGCATCTGGTACGAGGACGACGCCTACGGCACCAAGGGCGTTGACTCCAGTGTCATCGAACGCATGTGGGCGCTCATGGTGGACGACTGCCCCATGCTGCTCAGGGACGATGAGAGGTGAGGGGTGGGCATGGGTGTGAATGGGTGGGCATCGGTGGGCATGACTGGGCGTGAATGGGCGTGGGTGGGCGTGGGTGGGCATGCTTGCATGCATAATCTCATGGTGGACGACTGCCCCATGCTTCTGAGAGATGTTGAGAGGTAAGGAAACAAAAGCGCACATGTGCAAGCACGCTCACAGCGCGGTCCTAAGAGCATGCTCGCGCTCATGGAACTGCCCACCCACGCCCACGCACTCATGCGGGGCCTCCCATTCACGGTGGATGGCTTCGTTCCCACCCTCACCCAACCCCACAACCCCTCCTCATTTGTTCCCCTGGCCCCCCAACCTTTTCCCCTCCCCCCCCAGCATCCCGTTCACGGTGGACGACATCGCCCTGTGCCTGCCCGCCGTGGACCTGGACGACCTGCAGCCGCCCCCCGAGCTCCAGCAGGACCCCGCCTTCCACTTCCTCCTGCCCCACGCCGCGCTCCCACCCGCTGCCCCTTTGCCTTTCCCCTCCACGCCCTCCCTGCCGGCACGTGACCCATCTGAGTCGCCCATTGCGGCGCACTCCCACCTGCCGGCGCGCTCTGCCTCGGCTGCCGGGGCCCTCAGCAGCCCCACCACGCCCCGCGCTGCCACCCCCACCGCCACCGCCGCTGCCCCGGTGCCATCGTTTGGCGCCAGCGCCTGGGACCTGCTGAGGGGTGGTGCGTGGAGACGAGCTGCGGAGCCTCAATGAGAGAAGGGGGGTGGGGGGGTGGGGGGAGGAAAGAAGGTAGGGAAGACAATACGAGATTGAAGCATGTGGAAGTTCTTGGAGTGGAGAGGAGATGGTGGTTTTCGCTTTTGTGATGGAGAAGTGGGAATTAATTGCAGGCTCATACCGTCATCTCCCAGCATGATCAACCTAGGTCTTGCTCAAATCTGAACAAAAATCATCCGGGTGGACATACCATATTCGCCTCGATTGAAGAACCTGGATTTTGTCCAACACCGGAACACGTTGACGTTGGCAAAAACAACATTGATTAATGTGATGTCCTAAAATTACCTCATCCCCATGTCGAGTTACGGGCCACCAGGAACTTCGCGATCATTACGGCCGTGGCAGTGGGCTGCGAGCCTGCCGCTTGCCCCCACGGCCGCCGCTCGCTGTCGCTGCCAGCCTGCCGCTCGCTGCTACCACCAGCTCCTGCTTCCTGCCTGCGGCTGGCTTCCTGCCGGCCACCTGCCGGCCGCCTGCCTCCTTGTGGCAGCCACTAGCCAGCCGCCAGCCAGTCGCCAGCCAACCGCCTACTGCCACCCAGCCGCCAGCCCGCCGCCAGCCAGCCGCCCGCCCGCAGCCAGGCAGCCGCCAGCCAGCCACGAGCCAGCCGCCAGCTGCCGCCAGCCGCCAGCTGCGCGCAGGCAGCCGCCAGCTGCCGCTAGCCGCCATCTGCCAGCTGCCACTAGCCGCCATCTGCCAGCTGCCAGCCGCCAGCTGCCGGCCACCAGCTGCCGCCGCCAGCCACTAGCTGCCAGCCGTCAGCCACTAGCTGCCAGCACCCAGTCGCAGCTGCCCGCTACCAGCTACCAGCTGCGCCTCTGCACCCGCCAGCGCAGCAGTCACCGCTGCACCCGTCAAAGCTGCCACTGGACCCGTTGCCGACCCTGCCGCTGGTACTACTGTCGGGTCTGCCGCTGCCGGCCGACCCTGCCGGCCCCTGCTCCTGTTCGAGTACGTCCTCTTGCAGACATGACGACCCCTTCGACATCTGTGTTTGTACTTCGGCTGGACGCCGAGGGACGCACTGTGGGCTTCTCAGCGTGGCTCCTTGCTCTCCGCCGACAGCTGCTGAGTCAGCGTGTGGACAGTGAGGCGCTGGCGGCACACACGACTGGTGAGCTGTCTGCCCACCTTGGCCCCGAGCCTACGTCAGTGCGGCGTGAGGCGTTTGCAGCTGCCCGGACCACCCGCTCCATCTGAGACTCTTGTGACGCCGCTGCGCTGGCGGCCATCATCCGGTGCCTGCCGGTTGACAAGCACGCCCCACTTCGAGACGCAAGTGACGGCGAAGGACCTCTGGGACGTGATCACTGCCCGCTACTCGATCCCGTCTTCCACCACTCTTGGCCGCCTTCTCCTCTCGTTCCTCTTCCCCGACCTGGCCTCCTTCTCCACAGTTGCGGACCTCGCCTCACACATGCGCTCTCTCGAGACTGGCTTCCATGCGGCGTGCACTGAGGCCCAGCTCGTCGAGCACGCCCCGCCCACCTCCATCACGCTTTACCTCCTCACCACCCGCCTCCTTGACCGCCTCGCCCCTGCGTGTGACGCCTTCCTCGCTCTGCACCCCACTGAGCTCATTGTCGACCTGTTCTCCTCCCTGACAGAGACTCGCCTCCATGCCATCCCCCAGACCACTGGCGCGGTGGCAGCCCCTATCTTTCAGGGTTGCCCTCCGCCTCAGCTCCATATCCTTGGCGCCTCTGCCTCTGTCGCTGAGACTGCTACAGCGGCCACTGCCCCCAGCCGCCCTACTTGGCGCGCGCAGCGCCGTAATGATCATGGGACCTCTGCAGCGGTGGGAGGTGGGGGCACTGGTGAGGCCCGGAGAGCTGGCACAGGTGCGGGTGCTGAGGAGGAGGTGGAGCAGCAGCCACCGCAGTAGGTTCCTTGGAATTCTGGGCGTGGTGTGGACCCTGGTGGTTGGGCCCCGGGGCAGTTGCTGCCCTGAGGCTCGCTTGGCTCCTCCCTGGGCCAGGGTGGCGTGGGGCCTGGGGGTCCCGTGTGCTGTGTGTACCACATGCAGACCGGCCCCCTGCGCAGCCAGGTCTGCGGGCGCACGGGTCATAATGCCGCTCATTGCTTTAGCCGCTGGGACGATTTGTACCGTGGTCACTTTGGGCCTTTGACGCCCCCTTTGGAGTGGCATGTCCTTATCTGTTGTAGCGTCCCCACGTTTGAGTCAGAGATGGCTCAGATAGGTTCTGCCATGTTTTCTTTGTATTATGAGGATTATAGTGTGTCTGACTCAGAGTATCCTACAGTGTGTAGTCTAGGATCCTTTGGTATGTGTAGTCTAGGATCCTCTGCTGTGTGTGAACTAGGCTCCTCACCAGGCCCTGCTGCGGCGGCCCTCTCTTTCATACTGGACTCTGGCGCATCTTACTGCTTCTTTCAAGACCACACTGCACTCACTCGGCTCCCAGCACCGGTTCCAATCTCCCCCGCGGACTTGCCTGCCGCAGTCGTCACCCGTAGCACTACCGCCCTCCACTGTCCGGCTATCCCGTCTGGCTCCCTTACGGGCTTGCCTATCCTGACATTCTCCAGGAACCTGGTTGATGTTGGTCATATCCATGAACTCGTTATCACCACCACGTTCCCTGATCACAAAAGGTATGCAGCTTGTATGGACGCAGCCACGAGTGCCCGTCTCACCACCTGTGACCGCGACCTGCGCCCTGTCTCTTCACATTACATACGGAATCCCCCCCTCGGTAATTGCATCCTGCTCTTGTAGCTCCCTCACCCACCCGGCACTCTTGTGGCACCACCGCTTTGGTCACGCTGCTCTCTCGCGTCTGCGCCACATGGTACAGCACGGATTAGTCACTGGTCTACCTGCGTCGCTTCCCGCCCTCCCCGCCTCAGTAGCACCTGTATGCACCTCCTGCGTCGAGGGCCGGCAGCACGCCGCCCCTCAATCCTCATTTCTTCCGACCACTGCTCCCCTGTAGACACTGCACCAGGACATCTGGGGCCCCACCCTGGTCTAAGGACCTTATAGGGAGCAGTACTTCCTGATTGTTGTGGACAACTTCTCGCGGTTCAGCACGGTGTTCCCATTGGAGTGGAAGGCCGACGTGCCTGACGCCCTCCTCCCGTGGCTCCGCACTGTCCCCACCCAGTGCTCCATGCCCGTGCTCCGTCTTTTCTCCGACCGTGGTGGCAAGTTCACCTCTGGTCGACTTGGCTCGTTCTGCCGTGTGAAGGGCATCTCCCAGTCGTTCAACCTCCTAGATTCGCCACAATAAAATAGGGTAGCTGAGCGTTGCATCGGCCAGGTCATGGAGATGGCCCGCACCTCCATGGTCCATGTTGGTGCCCCTCATTCTCTGTGGCCACCTTAACCTGTGGCCTTGCTCCTTGCGGCCGCAGGTTTCGCCGACCCATCTCTGGACCAGGTCCTTTGGTGACGTGTCCACGTTTCACATCTGGGGCTGCCTAGCTCACGTCCGCGACACCCGCATAGACAAGCTCTTGACCCGCACCCTCCCCTGTGTCTTCCTCGGGTTCCCGCTCAACGCTCTTGATTGGCTATTCTACCACCCAATGCAGCACCGCTTCTTTCACTCCTATACCATTATGTTTGATGAGTCTGTCTTGTTCTACACTCGCTTCCCTTACTGTGGCACTTGTGTTCAGCCTCCCCCTCTTTTCCTCACTCCTGCTCTGCTTGCCGCTCCCTTCCCACCCCGCCCAGCCCCTTCTGGTGTCTACCATGCCACTCCCTTCCCCTCGGTTGGACCTATGACGAAGTCTGCTGACTCGGGGAGCCCCGTGGCTGGGGGTACACCTGCCACAGCTGTGGCGCCTCTCCCCCCAGCCCCGGTGTCCTAGGCACCTCAGCAGCCTCCCCCGATGTCGCCATCGCAGCAGCAGTAGGAGCAGCAGTCGCATCAGTAGCAGCAACAACAGCAGCAGTGACGTTGGACCGTTGTCTCTGGGAATGCTGACTCTTGGGGTGGGGGTTCTGGGGGTGTGGGTTTTGGGGGTGCTAGTCCTCAGGGTGCTGGCTCGGAGAGTACTTGCGGTAGCAGTGGTGGAGCTGGGGGTTCTGGCATGAATCGGGTGCAGCAGCAGCAACAGCAGCAGCAGCCACAGTCTGCCCTTTGTTTCCTTGGCCTTTCCTTTCGTGCCCCTGACCGCCTGCACATCCCTCCTACAGCGCCTCCCCTCCCACCTGCCCCTGTCTACGGCCCGCTCTTCGCTCCCCCAGGCTTGTCTCCGGCTCCTTTCTCCCATCGTTCTCCTCTGTCCTGTATCCCATCCCCTGTTGACCACCCATGGGTGCATCGTCCCCTTGGTGGTCGTCCTGTCTCTCCCCGTGCTGGTGTCCACCCCATGGTCCTTCGTTCTCATGCTCCTCCAGTCTTAGTCCTACCGCTCCCTCCCCAGTCATCCCTACCCCTGTCCTCTGCTCCATTCTCTGACTTTGTGTGCACTGCTCGTCTAGTCGTGTTCTGACCCTACCGCTCCTCCTGCTGGTGTCTCTGCCGTCGTCGCTGCTATCGCTGACTTTGCTGGAAGCCACCGTCTTAACTATGCCTCCGCTCTGGTCTATGACCCTGTATGTCCTCCTTCCGTCGGAGGTGGACCTGCCCTTGGTAGTGACATTCTAGAGGATAGGCAGTACGAGCCAGCTTTTCTTGTGGCTGCTGTGCCTCATCTATGCGCCATGCTTGTGTCCCCTGAGGGTGACCCGGACGCCCTGGACATCCCTCCCCGGCGCTCGAACGCTGAGGCGGTCTCGAGGCCCTAGGCAGCCTAGTGGATACAGACCATGGAGGCTGAGATGGCATCTTATAGATCCACTGGCACTTACGTCGACGCAGTTCCTCCACCTGGCGCGAACATAGTCAATTGCATGTGGATCTATAAGGAACTGCGTCGACGTAAGTGCCAGTGGATCTATAAGATGCCACTTGGAGAGCCGCCACAGTTCAAGGTATAGTATGTGGCCAGATGCTTCAGCGAGCGAGAGGGTGAGGATTTCTTTCAGAACTTCTTCCCCAACCTGAAGATAACTACTCTTAGTGTGCTTCTCCACGTAGCTACAAGCTCCACTCTCTGGACTTCTCGACCGCCTTCTTGCAGGGCAGCCTACACAAGCAGATCCACTTGCGGCGCCCACCAGGCTTCACCGGGCTCTTCACTTTTGGGACCCAGTGGAGCCAGCACCGCCCTGTCTATGGTCTGTGCCAGGACCCTGTAAGTGGCACGACACAGTTTGCACTACATTCGCGGCTCTCCAGTTCTTTCCGTACTCTGCTAGTCCCTTGCCCTTCGTTCG